AGCATTATCAGCAGAGCGAGCGACAACCTCAAAACTCTAAACTACTCTTTATCGCATTAAGTCGAGGAAGGGAAATGTCTGTTTCAAGTAACTGAACCAAACTTGTGAAGACGTGTAATTAAATTTAAAAATGCTTTAAAATTTTTTATTTAATAACACGAATGGATGAGGAGAAAGGCAGGAATATCAATGCATTATGACATTTAAAGCTATTTTAAACAAATTCATAATTACATATTTTTGAAAAGAAACGTACTCTTCATTTTCCTGTGCAAATTTCAGATTAATACGAATATGTTACAAAGAAGTCTAGACATCTGCCCCCGATGGTATGGTGGGTAGCTGTAGTTGACTGCCTAGCTTGACACTGAGTGTGTAAGCTAAAATCCCGATTAGGGTTTGACTTTTTGTGTCGCTTGCCCTTTCCTTCTGAGGTACAATATCGGTCTACATCCTGTGGTACCCCATGGATAACGTCTCGGTATGGCCCACCAGAGGCGAAGTCGATGAACACATAGTTGAGTCAGAGTCCTGGCGAACGTGCTGGTTGCCTGGGTGTTTTTGTGGTTTTTCCGCCGGTGTAACGAGTATACGAGCCAGTTCTCGTTAGAAAATCCTCCATGAAGGCATCTATCCCCTTAGGAAGATAGCTTTCAGTGTTCTGCCATAATCAAATAAATGAAACCAAACGCCTCAGTACATGAAATTTAAAAAAAAAAAAAAACTAAGTGGTTGAGGTCATCTATCGGAGAATATCCAAGTGCTGGCCGTTGGAAAAAATGTAGGAAAGTCTTAACATCAACAATCATTTAACTAAATAAACATTTTAAGAATTTATGCAATTCAAATAATCGAATACAATTTCAGTACAATCGTACGTATTTATAATCACAAGCGATTACGGAAAAAAGTTGTATAGATGAGTAATTTGGGAGTTTGAAAATTTAATGATGCGTCTAAAATGCAAAACTGGTGATGATTTTAGCAAGAATTTTTTCCGAGGGAGTTACTTACGAATTCTTGGTTGAATCATTTCTATAAATCTTTATTTGAATTTGAATCGCAAAATAATAATTACGCATACTTTTTTTATATAAAGCAACAATAATGTCATTAAAAATAGAAATCAAACACAGTAAATGAAGTCAAAATAAAGAAAATTCAAATTTAGGAAGGATTTTTGAATCAAATTACTGTTGATATTTAACGTGAAGTTAACTATCTAATGAATATTCTTATGTATTTTATAATAATATAAAGTGGAACTAATGTCTCCATATATACGGCAACTTAATCAGTAGTTACATGCAACAAAATTTTAAAAGCATTGTTTATGTGGGTCCAATCAGCGGCCGAGCGGTGAAGTCGCTGAACACTGGTAGTTCAATCCTCGGTTTGATTCCAGCTGAACAGGCAGGCTGCATGCGCTTTTTCGTGCCTTTCCATATGTGTAACGCGTATACGAGCCAGTTTCCCTTAGAAAGTCCTCCACAGAAGCGTCCAGCTCTCAAGTGCTTTGCCCTGATCAACTAAACCAACCATTGTTTATGTACGAAAACATTTTACGCCGCACTGCATTAGCAATTTTAGTTTTAGATTTTATTTTGGCAGTATATTTCATCACGATAAATCTTTCATTCATTTTTCGAGAAACATTTCGGTAAAAATCTTTCAGTCTTTTACTGAACTGCTCAACTATTTAAATTATTAAACTATGTACTTTAATTTTATTAATTTTCTGAAATTACATTTGCTTAATTTTATTAATATTAAATTTTATTTAACTAGTATTTTAAATTTAATTTATGTGCTAATCATTTAGTTCCTATTTACTTTTACATTTTTATCGCTATTTTTTGTTTTATTATTATTATTATTATTATATTGTTTATTTTCACTGTTAGAGACCATTTCAATAGGAATTCTGCATTTTTTTATTTTAAAAATCTAATCCTAAACAGAAAGATAAAATTTTTTCAGTACTTATTAGTGTAAAAGCCGTACAAAGTACATTTTCTATTGATACGCTGCATTATTTATTACTGAACATACGTTTAGTATCCAAATGTGTTATGCAGTAGTTGGGTAATAATCGAGTTATGAAACTTCCCATGTGATTGAAACATGAATATTGTGAACATATTATGAGGCCAGAAAATGCTTATTAATTGCATGTTTAGATAGCGCGAAATAAATTTACATGTCATCTGATATAAATCAGAGAAAGACTAGCATTATAACTTTTTCGGGTGTACTTCCGGTTTATTTAAACTTCTGTGTGGCATTCAGGTACACTGTTTATAATGAAACTACAAATATTAATCTTTCAGGTGTCATCACTTGATATATAATGCTACCTATATTCAAAGTAATTCCATTTGAATTTCAGAGATAAACACGCTGTCTCTTAACCCTTTCCAGCATGCTACCTTTTAAAGTCGGAGTTCTGATTTAAAAAAAAAAAAAAAAGATAGGCAGTCTAAAGAGGCCTAGAGGAGTACACAAGTAAAATTTTATGAAGAAAGTACTTATCATTTAATTCTGTGGGTATGCCCAAAGTGGTACATTGGGTTAATCTTTGGATTATGGTAACTTGGCGATTTTTTTCACGAAAATTTGGCAACCAACCCTGCTGCAGCATCCTGCTAGTTTTGTTTTGGACGCCATTTTGTTTTCACGAAGTAAAGACATGTTTTCTTTTTCTTTACTCAACATTTTTTCCAACAATCTGCTAGCCGAATTACGCTTATACTAGAACTTTTATGGAACAAAAGTGCTTAATCATGACGAAGATTAGGTGCGAAATTGGGAGAAAGTGCAGAATCGCAAACTGCTTGCCGCGTTTTTAAGAATTGCACATACACGGTATCCATGTACACGTCGACCTATTTTCACTTAAAAAAAATCCCAGAATTGCACGAAATTGGCATTGCGCACACTCTTGACTTTATCCATGTACACTACTAAAGTCCTAGCTAGTAACTTTTATCGCCTACCAAAATGTCGCCAAACTACCTGTTACCATATTCCAAAGATTAGCCGTACATTGATTGAATAGAGCTTCGAAAAGAGTTCTGAAACGAGCATTGTTGTCAATGGATTGACCGATGAGGTGCGGAGAAACAAAGAATACAGACTCTCAGTTGTCCTAGATTATCGGTGAGCCCGGTCTAGGCACACCTAGGGTTTGCCGTTTGATTTTAGGCACGATTTCAAGGTAAAAATTTAAAACTAATATAGAATAAGGAGATTAGCATACAGCCAAAAAATAACATAGAAATTTCTTTTCAAACAATTCCTTTTATACCCTAAAAAAAAATCTGGAAGATTTCTTTGAAAAATGAGGATCTTAAAAAAACTAAACATGGCTAAAATATATGGACTGGTTTGTGTTGAGCTGCTATCTACTATAAATAAAGAAGGTTCAGAGTAACCTATAAATCCTTTTTCATTCAATTTTTCTGTGTACAGAAGGAAATTTTTAGGTGTGTGCCGCAAAGGGTTAACACTTTTATTCCCTTTTTTTAGTCTTCGTCATAAATACAGAGTGCGGGATTAGGAGGCCGGCTATACGGGCGCTCCCTTTGGGCGCAAAATGTATCAAAAATGGTTTGTGTAAGATATTTACCTGGTGTTAATGAGCTATTTTTAATAGTTTCATAATCATAAGGCCAATACAAAGTATTCCATGCCAATACCTAATTAAATTTAACGAAAGAAAATGTACATCAATAGTATGAAAAGCCATCATTCATGTTCATGTATCGTTTAGGAAAAATCACACACCTAATAATTCGTTTCATCAGTAGGAATCGAACCCAAAACGAAATATTTAGCATTTTTAATTATATTATCTACTTTAACCCTCATATCTTCAAGAAGCAATTAATCCATTTGTTAAGGCAGCCGACTAGCGGCCGGGTGGTTACTGGTAATCCGACCTCAGTTCGATTCCAGGCAAACAGGCCAGGAGATTGGCCTTTTCACAGATTTAACCATGCGTAAGGTGAATACGAGTTAGTTCAAAGAAATCTTCCACCAATGTATCTTTCTCTTAGAAAGATAGTCCTTGCATGGTTTGTCGTAAATAAATAAACCTCTTTTATATATATATATATTTCTTAACATTATTTTTTAAAAAAAGGAGATTGTTTTAACATTATACTGATTTCATATTATAATTCTGTTTCAAAGAAAGCAAAGTATTTGTAATATATAACGACGACGTTACATATAAACAGAAAAGCTCTTTGTGTTATTTTTAATAATTTTAATATTTTAACGAAAAACCGAAGAACACAAAAATACATAAGAAGATAATCATAATGCACGTGAGGACTAAATTTTACTGTAGCCTGGTGAACAAATCTGAAAATTCCGCACGAATTTTTCGCTTAATTTAAATATTCAGTGCACAAAAAAGCGTGAAAGGGATGAAGATAAAATATGCTACGCGGAATTCGTAAGTAAAGAAATGATTTCTATGGTAATATTTACTTAAAATATAATTCTCTTCACATTCTCAATCAACATTTTCACCACAAAAACCAGATCTAAAAATAATTAATGAATGACGATTATATTTGTATATACAAGCTGATATAGTAATGCGTGTTATATACGCATTTACATAGTTTCTAGAGTATTAGAATTAAAAGATTTCAGTATTCAATTACTCATTTGTGCTATCTTTATATACCTTTGTTTCCGTGAAATCAACATAATTATATAAAGCTAAAATTTAATCAGAACATAACATCGTTTTAGAACGTATATATTCAAAACTTGTTCCTCGTAAAACGAAAAATAAGACAGAATACAATGACGAAATCTCAGTCTCATTACGAAACTATAAATTCTAATGTTGCCGTATTCAAATTTTAAATACTTACAACACTGCATAAGTATTAATTTACGAGCTGCAAAAGCTAATTATTGAAGCACGAGCAACGCGAATTCACTTCAGAAAATAAGCTGGTATCTTAGCAACAAATACTTACCAATAAAAACGCACGATTTGCTAACTTCCAGGTGACATTAACTCATGCGTCCACATTGTTTTCGAAGTCGATGACTGAGCTGTCTTCCTACTTGACGCCAAACCACGTTCTGAATCGTTAAGGTTGCCACGTGGATTTAAACACATTTGGCGACATATTCGCACAGAAAAACAAGCCAACGAAGCTGAAATTATTTCAAGTTTTTAGAGATCGGAAATTGTGGTAACCCAATATTTATCCGCGAATATTTGTAGCTGAATTTTCAGCCACCTTTTCCCACATACGCGCACGACAGAGAAATAAAATAAGTAAATAAATAATTATTAACTTTAGTATTCCCATTGGCAAAAAAATTCTCAAAATAATAATAATAAATCGATATTTAATGTATTGTTCTTAACAAAACTGTTTTTGTGCCGCTTTAGTTCATACTTGCCAGTAATGTTTTATTGTTTTTTTTTTTTTTTTTTTTTTTTTTTTTTTTCTCGTTGATATTAGCTTCCTAAGAATGTAAATAAATGACATATTTATTTAAAATAAGTCTCGCTTTTATTAAGGAAAAAGATCTGAATATTTTTAAGACTTTCAAATTTATCACTCTTGGGGGAGAAAATTGTGAAAGGGAATTTTTCTCGGCATTCATTTGAAGGTACTTTCCAAAAGGTTTATATTAATTTATTTATTCATAGTTTGAATTAAGTATCCAAAGCTGTTCAGTATGCCTATGAAAATTTTTAAAAAAATATTATATTATTTTAAGGTCAACAGTCAGTAAAAGTAATTCTCCAGAGACAAGGTTGCCTAGCCACCATTGTACAATAGAATTAGTCAAACACCTTTATATGATTGGATCCAATTGGGGGTAGAAAGAGATGAAAAAAGAATCCGGGGAGGGGGGGAACTTATTCTCCTTCTCCCTCTCTCTCTCCCTCCTTTTTAATTTTTATTTTTTTATTTTTTAAATTTTTACTTCTATGTAAAATTTTTACGAGAAAGGTAGTATTATTAGCCGAGCATATAATTTATAGTATTTTTAAATGCTATGCGAAATTTTTAGCTTTTATTAATTAGCACCTGAATATTAATTAACAGTTTGTTGCATAACTATTGATAACATTGGATATTAAATGAATAATTATTATTAAAATTATTATTATTTTATCATTATTTAGTCCTTACCCATTAATTAGTATTATTATCGAAACGTGCAAGCCATCATGTTAATTGATTAAAAATAAATTTTGAGCTCATTGGACACATCCATAAATAAGCCCTTTAATCCTGCAAATAAGTCCCTTAGAAAAACTCCCTAAGAAGAGCTTTCTTCTAGAAAAACTCCCTAAGAAGACATTTTCTTCTTAGACACATGGTTTCCATAGGTGTAGCCGTAATTAAATTAATCAATCCAGTTCTATGCGATTGCTCCTTATCAAAAATTTTATTCATTCCATTGCTTTTGCTACCAAACTGTTCACAAACTTAAAGAGATACTTTTCACGTCTTATTAAACAAAATATTTATATCAATGCAAATTAATATATAGAAATATGTAACTTTTTTTTAATCAGTCAGAGTTATTATTGACAGCAAATTTTTTTTTTTCGGTTAGTTTTCTTTTGCTTGTTGTTGTTTTTGTTGTTGTTGTTGCCTGCATCCTCGAAGTGAATTTTTTTTTCTTTCTTTGGGAACAGCCTGTATCGAACCTCTATTCGTGCTTTTTTGCTTTGGGTGGTTGAATAAACTTGCTTCCACCCAAACATATAAATGAGCATAAGCTTAATACATAATATGCCAACATTTTTGCAACAGAGGAGCTTTTCTCTTTCTTTTAGCTTCTAGAAAACCTTTGGAAAGAATGTATTAAAAATTTTTAACGATCAGAAATATGTTAACCTTTTTCTTTCTCATTCGAGTACTGTACATTTTGAATTTGCATAAGTGCACACAAGTAATTTTATAATGAATTTCAATGTTGTGCTTTGAAATTCTACTGAAATTGAATTCTACTTTTGCATTCTAAATCCAAAAAGAAAATTACCAAACTTATACTTATTTTCTATACTGAATTACACGAGTTTAATATACATTAAATTTAAACTTTTATAATTAACTAACGTTCAAAACTATTAATATACGGTATATATAATGTAGTCTGTATTAAATGCTTGGGACTTAATTTTAATTAATTAATTTTAGCAATACAGATATAATTCCTGTGGAGACTCTTGCAAACCCTCCTCTTAAACTCTTGCAAATTCAGGGAGTAGCTTTGCAGTTAATCACTGATTGTTATAAGATAGTGTCGACTATAAGCTTGCAAGTTTTAGAGGGAGTTATCCCCATCGATTTAACGCCAGATTTGGAAACTCAAATTTATGGTACACAACATATGGAAGGAGTTATAATATATGGAAACTTAAATGATGAAGAAATTGATAAATAATTTAGAAATTGATAATAAATAATATAGAAATTGATACAAAAGTAATAAATAATGTAAATAATGTAGAAATTGATGCAAAAGAGAATAAATATTACTATCATCAAGGGAAAGTTGAAATAATTAAATGGAACAAAGACACTCCACAGGGTCGTGGGTCAGAAATCTTTACTGGTATCTCGATGATTGATAATACAGCGGAATCGAGTTTTGTTGCGTATTCTAACGAAATTAAGTGCGAGGGGAAAAGTTCAGATTAAGTGAAAATAGTGCTACCTTTGAAGCTGAATTGTTAGCTTTCAGAGAAGTATTAATATGGGTTGATAACCGGAAAAGTGAGACAAGGTTCCCAGAATCTCAAGTTATACTCATTCCGAAAGTGTGCTGAAAACACGTTTCTTATTAAAAAGGTTATCGCTATGAAAAATAAAGTTTTGGAATTAATTTCAAATTTAAACTGAGTATTAATTGGATCAAAGTTCATACAGAGGTTTGGAGAAATGAGGCTTCAGACACTACAGCAAAAAATGCAACTGGATGTTATAGATTTGTGCTCCACCATATCGATAGATTTATAACTACATCACCGATGGCCTTACTAAATGTAACTTGCGACTAAACCTCAGTAATACTGTAAGGGAATTATTGCTATGTCTTAAAATTACTAGAGAGACTTGAAAAGGGTGTAATAGGCCCTTTATTTTTAACATGAGTAAGTTGAATAGAAGGCACACCTGGTGCTTATAAATCAGTGAGCATTTATGGCGAGAACTCGAAACTGAAATTTAACGTAATTCTAAATCTAAATGGCTAAAAACTAAAGGCTACGCGGAGTAAATTAGTCACGAAGCTTTACTGTCGTGAAATATTGTCAGTAATTATAATGCATGACCAAAGATAAGAATTCTTATCTTAGAATAGCACACTTAGAAACGTGACCTGAACCAGATAAAACACTCTCTGACTCTATAATCTCAAACCTCCACGTAAATACATGCGAGCTAATTTGCATTCTGGAGGAAAAACGGAAATAGAGATGTGACAGTAAAGATTCTGAACATAAAATAATTGGCTAAGGGAATGTATTTATACCGATCGTATTAGCACAGAATCCCTTAAAAATATATCAAAAGAAAATGAAGCGTATTTATGTACAAATGAAAACATAAGAATGGTAATCATAAAAATTATAAATAACTTAAATAATTATGAATATTTTGATTTTGATTAATATATGTAGATAAGATTTAAAATGTAGTTATTTACTAATTAGTATTCTCAGTATAATTATGTTAATGCTATTTTATGTCTGAATTTTTGGTTACGGTCTAATATAATACATTCATGATGCAGTTTAATATTTTGTATATGTTTATGAATATAAAGGATTATATTTAAAATAAATATACTATATGGGTTATGTTTATGAATATATGTATGTTTTGGTATTGTTCGCATTTAAAAATATATTTTGTAAAAAAATCTGTAAGTAAAGTGTAGTAAAACGCTTACATAAAAGTAAATAGAATGGAATGTTTATACAATATGTATTGTAAATATTGATTTCATATAAATTGCGTTATGCAAATGAGACATGTAAATGTACTATAAAATAATAATAATATATATATATATATTGTTCAAATATATTGTTAAATACTAAGAACGTGTAATGTAATGGCTTAAAACTGTTCTACGGACGATTGCTGCTAGAAACCAGCTACGGCTTGAGTACAGACCATCCACGGAAGCCGTAACTACTCGGGAGACCTATGCGGCAATTTATCGTACTCCGAAAAAGAACTTGTATGCACATGGAGCATTATCGTCATCCTCTGTGTGGGAGCACCTGAGGATGAAGAACAAGAATGATGAGGTTTATTGTATGCTTTCTCCATTCGTAATGTTTAGTGGAAAAATCTAATCGTAATGTTTAGTGGAAATTAATTTACTATTGATTTTATTTTCTAACAGATACTGAATAGAAGTCGAGGTGTCCCTGCCAGCAAGGCCAGGTTTTTATTTCTTTTCCAGTCATCATGAGTTCTTTATAGTTAGGCACCGGTATGCGAAGTTTGGCGGTAAAGTCTTTAGTTCACAGGTTAGGTTTTGTTAGACCAAACCTAATCACATAAAATCAGAGGAAATATATGATTAAGGAGTAAAATAAAAATTAAAATGTGAGGGAGGAATAAAGTAGCATTCCTGAAGTATTTTTCTTCCCAATGCACGTTCCCTAAAGCATTTCTGATTCAAAGAATTAAAAAATAAAGGAAAAAAAAAACCTCCCTTGAAAATTCAGAAGGAAGAGTTTGAAGCAAAAGCTAACAATTAAATTAAGCAAAGCAATTGAGATAAAAAAAATATATAAATCATTATTATGAACGAATAAAACTGAAAATAGAGTTGAGAAAAATATTTCGAAAATTAATATAAAGAAAATTAAATTACATTTAAAAAAAATACATGAATGCAGCGCAGTTAAAATGCTAAAAGAAGATTAAGCAGGAAATAGAAAACAAAAAGAATGAAAAACGAATGGACGTAACGAAATAGTTTGAAAAAATAAAGAATTTTAATTAGAAATGCAAGACAAATTAAGCATTAAAGAAAGAAATTTTAAGAAAAGAAGGTACTAAAAACTTAACAAAAAAATAAAATAAAATAAAAAT